TTAGCAATATCTCTCTCTTACATTAATATCCCATTTAAAATAAGTATATAGTTGTGAAGGAATTTGTAAAGCTAAATAAAGCAGCTTTAGTTATAATAAGGAAAATATGTAATATAAGTATCAGACAATATCTTAGTTGTTCGGGTTTCTTAAACTAAAACTTAAATCTTAATAATCTTAAATCATACTCTTAACCTAAATGCTTTGAAGCTTCAGTTCTATAAAAAACGAATTGCTAACAAAAAATGAAACTAGTCGAAAAGCAATTAATTGGTCCAAGCATTCAGGAGACTTCAATATAAAAATGTTACTACGAAAATATCGAGTAATTGCTTTATAATATTCTACTGGCCAGCGTGGAAACATTTGTTCATGCACAAAAAATGAAATGAGAAAAATAAGTCGAATAAAATTATCCTTTAAAAATATAGCATCCTATATAATATTTTGCAATGAACATTTGTTTCGCTTCAATTATACATAGTCATCAATAATTGAAGATTTACTTTTAATATAGTATAGTATAGTCAATATGTTTAATAATATCGAAAACCTATCGATTCCTATCGAACAGCTCCTATGGAACTGCCAAGCTGTGAAGCTATTCGCTATACCTAAAATGTTCGAAAACCTATCGATACCTTTCGTGACAGCTGTTATCGAAATTGTAATTGAAGAATTGCTACTACAAAATCGATAACACTAACAATTAGTTGGCAACTGTTCCTATCTAACATTATTAAGTAAATCTGCAGAATAGTCTATAACAGAGTCAACTTTTATAACTATTCAATATTTATCGTAGTGTTATCAATGTAACTTAATATTAATGAATACTTTACATTATCGATTAGTGAACAGACTATTGAATAATGTCAGTATCGATAGTCTTACAGTTATATTCTAGAGGTTGTAAATAGTTTTGAAATACAGGCGCAGCATTAAAGTATTTCTACAACAAGTTGCTGAGTCTTTTCTGTCTATTATTGCCCTCAAAGCTTATTAGTCTAAGGTAAATGCTTACATCTATGAATTTAGTTTAATTGAACTTAAATATCACAAAAACAGTTATTGTATAACATCCGAATAACGATAAAAATTTAAAATTCAAGTCAAATGCCATCAAAATTTAAAGAAGAAAGCTTCTTCCTATCTGTCAAAATAATTTGATAAATAGCTGCTTTTAACTTTAACATATCATGTTTGGTGCTACTTCTATTCCTAACCTACGTCAGCTTATAGTTTGTAATACCCTTTGCAGGAGTATTAATGAAAAAAAGGGCTGCTACTGGCATTGAATATTTTCACTCTCACTTGCTCGGAAGTGGTCTGTCCCTGCTCCTCTTTCCCTGTCAGTTTCTCACCCTGTCCTTCTCTCCCTACCTCTCTCCCCATGTTCGTCTTAATGTTCATTGCACGCTTCGGCATGTTTGTTGGCTTGTCATTTTCATTTTTGCTTGTGTAGCTTGAAGCGTAAAAATGTGTAGCATATATTTGGGCGCAGTGTGCGTAAAAATTATTTCTTTAGCCCTTTTTTTCAGCTGTGCGGTTTCTATACATATATACATAAATATATGTATATGAAAGTGTCTTTTATATATACATATGTATGTATGTATATCGTGTTCATCTTCTCTGCGTGCGTGTGAGATTTTTGAGGCAGCTGGCTCGTCCTTCCTCTGCTCGCATCCAAGCGTTTTTTATTAGAAATGCAAATTGTTATGGTTTCATTTTGCGCTTAATTTATGGGCCTCTACCACCCACACAGTTCAGAGGGCCATGTTCACGCAGCCGTGGGCAATCTGTACGGAAAATCTTCTAATCATTTGACGTGCAATTTGAGGCTCGGTAATGTTTTTCATTCATTTCGTCTAGGCGCCTGTGTTAAAGCATTTAAAACGCTTGTGGCGCCACAGCAAAAAAGAAACGTTGATGGCCTTCACACGCAGCCCACAAACAAAGTTCGACACACACACAATTTTTTTCACAATTTTTTTTCACAATTTTTGAGCATTTTTGTTGCGTATGTTTGCATACAAATTTTTTGTATTTCTTTTTTTTTGTGGCTGGCCTTGACTGGCCGCCTGTAAGTGGAACGCAGGCAGCTTCAGCTCAAAAGGTGATTTCAAGCTTTGCAAATTAAAAATTTAAATAAAAATGCACAACAAAACATAAAACGAGAGTGAAAACCATAGCAGTGGCACTGAAATGTTTTATAAGTCATTCATATTTTAATGTAAAAGCGTTTTAATATAAACATGAACTTAAGCCTAAACTAGTTGGAAATTAAAACAAACATAATTATAACTCAAGCAAGATTTTTTATGTATTTTATAATTGGCTTTAAATTTTAATATTTTATAGCATTGTCCATTTTATTTTTATTATTTTTCACAGCATCATTTTTTAATGTGTTTTTGCTTATTTCTTTCGCTTCATTTGCCACACTTTGTTGCGCTTTCGGAATGTTTGGTTTAGTATTTGCTGAAATTTTATTGCATAGCTGCAGGCGCACATGCTGTTAGATCCTTGCCTGCCATTTGGCTGTTTATTATCTGTATTTGCTCCATTTAATATTTACGTTTTCACATTACACACATGCACTGAGCGAAAACTTTTCCTTTTTTGCCTTTCGATTTTTCTTCTATCTTTTTTTCTTCAAAAATGTTGAACTCGTTGCACACGCGCCGCACCTAACGCACCAATATGCCTATATATGTATAGGTGTGTGTGTGTGTGTTTGTTTGTTTTATTGGCTTTGTGTGTATGTGTTTGTTGGCCTTACAGCAGTCAGCGCCGCATTAACCGTTAGAACGTCCGAACGAAACGACTTCACTAAATACACTGAAAGGCAACCTGCCTGCCTGCCTGCCTACCGGGCTGTCGGGCTGCCCGACTTGGACGAGCACAAAAACGATGGCAGCCAAAGCTTCATTCAACTGGCCCGAGAAGAGAGGCGGAGAGCTTTTAGCCAGCCTCCACGCACAGTGTGACAAGAGTTAGACACCCCCTGTCATCGCTCTTAAAGGCAAGTTCGAAAAATTGCTCTCACCAGCGCTCTCTTACACTCGTTGCTGGCTTTCCAGGCGCCTAGGTCAAGTTATTTGCTCCTAAGCAAGTCCTTACGAGCATTTCGGACTGCTCGCTGAAACATTTAGGATATGCCGCCGCGGCCGGTTTGAAATAGTTTTCAAAAAATTCGAAGCGCGCTCAAATTTGTTAACTTTTCAAAATCTTAAATCTGTATTTAATTTATTAAACTGTTTTAATCAAACAGCATTTTAGATTAGAGCTGAGCAATATTGCGTTAATTTGAGCAATCAGTGTTAATTTATTCATGTAGTCTCTTTTATATATAGCAAAAAAATGTATTCTTCTTACTCGTATGTAATGAGATTTAAAATGAGATAAAATATAATATTTATACAGTATATAAATAGTATTACTATTATAAAACACGTCATTAAAAAAATATAAATTACGATTTACAAGTATTTGCGTAATTAAGCTATAGCAGCAAGAGAACTTTAAGCATATGTGCGTATATTAATTAAATGTATTCATTAGATTATAAATCTGAGAAAGCTAATAATATTGTCCAGCTACTTTTATATTATGTCGTATATTTTGGTGGCCTTTAGGGATGCCATAGCTTGTTTAAATTTGTTTAAGTGCTATATTTTTTTGTATTTATTTAATTTATTTTGTATGATTTTTTATTTATTTATTGCCTTTTATATTTTATTATATATTTTATTATTTATTTGTTCAATTGTTCAAAGTCTTCAAGCGGTATTTATGTTTTCAATATAATAAAAAAAATAATAACATAAATAAATAAGTTTTATGTATTATGAGTATTAATATTATAATTTATTTATTATGTTTATTTTAAATATTGTGCCTATTTTCTGTATGTTATTAATTATATTTTGTATTAATTATATGCACCTAATTCTGTTTTTAAACGGTAGATTGCTTTCAGAAACAACCGTGTAAAAACGAAAATAGGTGATTGGTTCCTTATATCTAAAGAAATATACAAGTATATGAAATTTTTAATTTTCAAACCGTGTTATATCAAAATTGTGTAAAAAAAGACCGTGTAGAGACAGAATTAGGTGTATATTTTATTTTTGATAAATATTTGAATTTTGAATTAGCTGTCGGTTTATATTCATATTTTTTTATTTTAAATATTTTAAAATGAGATTTAAAATTATGTTTTTTATTGAAATTTATTGAATTTATTTCTTTCCCAATTTATTAATTTGCTATTTTAATTAATGTTTTTCATTTCCCATTTTTTATGTATCTAAACAAAATTAAAAGGATTTGCCCAACTTCGAACTAATTGAATTTTCAAAATTGTAATGTTTGATAAATTATTACAAGAAAATTCTTCTTAAAAAATGATACAAAATTTTTAAAGAGAATTAAAGATAATACAAATTTTTTAAATATATATATTATTCATGTAACAACTGCTCTCTCCCTTGCTTTTTTTATTTTGTTACGCGTTTATAATTAAAAACCTATGAAAAGAGTCTCGAAATATTCACAAATATTTTATTTTCTTAAGGAATTTGCTTGTTGATCGATTCCTAAATGTACTTTTAGAAACAAAGAGTCTTCAATATTTTAAATAACAAATAGTGTTTTGTTGAAGTTCCATAACCTGCTACTATTAATTAATTTTTATTTATAATAGATTGATTGATAAGCAATATTAAATCAATGGTATTAAATAGTGGCCTATAAAGGGTCTGCTGCATTTTAAAATACCCGTGATATTAATTTTGATATTAATACGATCCTGGCTGTTACAAATATATGAACGAAAGAATGTGCGAAAGAAAATTAAAACAATTAAGACCTCAACAGAAATGAAACCATCTTGAATAAATGAAAGCGCGCTAGTTATTATTTATTTGATGCTCTTTAGATCCAAGTATCTTGATATTTTCTTCATCCATCCAACTGGCCATGCAGTCCTCTTTCTAGACTACTTCCTCACACTTGTACATAATGCGTATTTTGGTCAAATCGCCCTCAGAGGGTCCACGCACTTGGCCCATTTCACGCTCGACAGCCTCTCCATCGACCCAGGCGCGTATGGTGGGCTTTGTGGGGTCCTTGGCAAAGGCATTTTTCGAATAATGCATAATGCTCTCGTAATCGTAGGGCACATCATAGGTGGTCGTCTGCTTTTGGGTCATGAATTGTGACCAGAACTTCCGGGGTATGTTGTCGTAATCGATCTGTACGTAAGCATCGCGGTCCGGTCGACTCTGCTCATGATACAGGCCCAGGACATGCAGGGTCTCGTGCTGAATGACACCGGGCTGGGCCAGACAGCGTTCATTCAGCAGGACATCGTGCGGCCCAAAGGGCTGCAGGACATTGTAACCGACGCGTGTGCCACAGACATTCGGCGCCTTCTTATAGTAGACATAACGACGTCCGGCCGAGGCGCCCCCCTCCGCGAGTTCCTCAAACTCCAGGCACGTTTGCTCATTGAACGTGGAAAGGGCGGTCCGGACATTGGACGCCTCCTCGGCTGTATAATCGCTGGCAATGCGATAAAATAACTTCTTGCCGGGCCAACGCTGCAATGGCGATTGCACCGCATTCCGTGTCTTGGCCTCCGCCTCCTCATCGTCCACATGTATCTCATTATAATAGTTCTCAAAGGACTCAATGCTTTGCTCCTTCTGCTCCACAGCCCAGGCAGCAGACAGTGCGGCCAGCCAGAACAACCAGTGTGGCGACATTTTCGATTCGATTTGAAACTGCCAAGCACATAGCTGGCACCCTTTTATAGCCCCAACCGAAATTAAAACACATTTCAATTTGTTTTTTAAATAGAGTTATCAGTTTGGTTTTATACTCGTATCTCATTAAATTATTTCACATACACGCACAGACAAACAACAAGTTTATAATAATTAGCAACACATACATATACAAGTATGTGCGAGCTATCAACTCACCATATATACTATACTATATACTACTATATAGTCAGATGTACCTTTGCTACAATCGAACTTTTACGCGCATTCTCAACTTACGGGGCTAGAGTTTTGAAACATTTTTGCATAACTTAACATACAATACAATATTTATATATATATATATATAGATATAGAGGTTTGTATATATTTCCAAGAAATACAAGTGTGTGTGTGTGTGTTGTGCGTGCGTTTCAATATTTTTAACATTTAAGCACAATTTTAAGCAAGCTTAATTCTGTTTTTCCTATTAAGTGCCACGTTTTTTGATCACTAATTCTATTGCCGAAAGCCTAATTTGTTCTACATATAGAGTATACTATATATATCCCATTTTAATTAAATTTAACAATTTCAGCATAATTTTAAAGCAAGACTAATTTTGTTTTCATAGTTTCTTTCGATCATTAATCCTTTGATCCAATGCTAGAGGCACGTTAATCTTGAGGTTCAGTTTCAGACTCCATATTTAAAGAGATATATGTATGTATATATTTATATTCATGGCAGAGTCTAGTTATTGATATATTTCCGATACTCAGCTGGCATATTATTTTTGTACACAGAAAAATTGGTAGTATTTGTAAAAATTTAATTTAAAGCTGTCCTTGATCAGAGAGAGAAATCTAAGAACCGAATTTTTATGTCAAGAGCAGAGCAGATTTTCTTCGTTGCTTATTTTCTTCTCTAAATTCAAAAATTAAAACAAGTCTTCATAGGAGCTACAAGAAAGATTTACCATAATAACTAATAATGTTACTCTTTAGATTTTCTCTAAAATCAAACAAATCTCCTGCAGTTATAAGCATATAAATAGATAAAATATCAGTTAATCTAATTTCCAATTGTTCCATTTATATGATTATTAAAATGTTTTTTAAAATGTTTACTTATAAATGGTATATTGTTGAAAAATATTGTCACTAAAATAATTTATTAACACGACTAAACCGCCATTCTATTCACTTTATTCTTTCGATTAGGAATATTACATTTTTACGCAATCTAAAGTAAATTTTATATAACTTTTTATTGCTGAACAAGGTATGAGATAATTTTGAATTTTTTTATTATAGATAGTGTTACAAAAAGTGAATCAAATTAATAGTCTTCATATTTTTATTCTAAGTCAACATTTTAATCAAAAACATTTAAGCAGAAATGCTTGCTAATGCAAAAAATGCAATATTTTGTACTTTTAAAAATAAACGAAAGAAAGCTTAGTTAGAATAAATATTTTTGTTTATTTTTAATATTTACAATTTTAAAAAGCTCTTAGACATTTTTTACTTTTTTGGCGGAGCGTGTGAATCTGCTTTATGATTTAATTTCTAAAAAAGCCAAGTACTAATAGAAAAGAATTGTTTAAATGTTAGTATTGCTTTCAATATTTAATGCGTTTAAGCTATGAATTTATTTCGCTTGCTCTGTGAAGACTGTGTACGCACAAAGTTCTAATGGAATTAACCTTTTTAATGGGGGAATAACAAACAATTGTGTGTTAGTTAAAAAGTTAAATATTCCACATTTATTTTCCAATAAATTTGCACTGCTCTTCTACAAAACTTGACACACCCTCGTGCATCATAATAATATGCCAGTTGTCTATCAGCAATGTTCATGCCCCACATATTTGTTGCACACACAAACACACTCACACACACACATATACAGCATGGTTTTACACATGCCTTGTTCATGCATTTTTATCAGCATGTTTCGATTTCTTTCCTTTTTTTTACATGTACAATGTGTGTGTTTTTTATGTTTTTTATACTTTCAGTATGTTGTTTAAGTTCTATTAGGTTGTTTGTTTTTTTTTATAGTTTTTCCTCTTTTTTTTTGCTTAAGCTACTTGCTGCTGAGTTAATTTATAATTTCCATTTGCATAGTTGTTGCTTAGTGCTTGTTGTTGCTGTTGCTAGTCGCTTGACTTTCTTTTTGTGTGTTTCAAACAATAAATAAATGAATAAATGATGCGTTGGAGCTTTAGATTTCCAACTCTGTTTTCGTTTATTGCTCAGCTAGCTAGCTGTCCACTGTGCAACATGACGTATACATATTATATAATCATACTTGTACATACAAAAACATAGGTATTTCGAATAGCTAGTAGAACACATTTATTAAAATTATGAATAAAAAACTTTTCTTCAAACAGCTGAAACAATAGTCTTGTTGCCGTCGTCATTGTTGTCGTTGTAACATCGTTATTGCCTGGCCATTGAGGCTGAGATAACATCATCATCAATCATCATTCTCAGCATGAACATTATTATCAATCATCATTTATTGCTGCAACGCTGCACGCTCTTCACTCGCAAATACATCACAAATCAGTTCCTAATCATTAGATTTACTACAACGCTACAGTTTTCATTATCCTTATCTATCCGTATAGTATGTATATATGTATGTGTATAGTAGGTAGATAGGTAGGTAGTAGGTAGTTAGTTAGTTTATATATGCATTTATTTAATTTCTAACCAATATCGCAGCAGCTAAACGCACGCGTGGCATGGCATGGATGGCGGGTATTAGAGCAGAACCATAACGCCCATATCTAGCGTCTAGTGGAGCTCTATGAACTTAAAGAGTGCCGCAGGCACCGCATCCGCATACGGTATTCCATGTTTCTTAATAGTGCGCGCTGCCAGACAGGATAGCGTTGTATGCTTCATGGGATCAATGATTTTGTGGAGTTGCGTCGGCGCGAGCAGAGACTCGAACGTCTCACCAGCAGCATTCTTAGTGTCCTGCAAAGGCAAACAGATAGAAAATTATTCGAAATTATTCCGAATCAAATATATAGAGCTCTTAATTCGAAGTTAATGATACTAAGAATCTTTCATATACCATCTTATTGAGTTACTTGTGATATTTTAAAAGCAATTTAAAAGCCTTATGAATACTATCTAATGTCATCTAAAACATATTTTAAACTTTAAGAATTAAATATAGTGAGAATATTTTGAGAAAAAAATCTATTCAACATTCCTCAGCATTTTGAATTAATTCTTTATTTTAAAGTAATGAGTTTTGCAGAGAAACGTTTGAATTAAAACTCTGATATTATTGGATAAACATATCTAAACATATCCAAAACGATCCCATGGAAAATTAATTTTTCAATTCTTAGAGACTTACTAAAATAGTTATTCTTAGCAAGATCCAGCATGAACCGATCAATTCGATGTATTTGCAATTCTAAAAAGAACTTTTAAATTAAATTTGCTTCCATAGCTTACGATGTCTAATCCATTAAAGTTTTTGCAGTAAAAACATGTTTGTTATTTTGGAAATATTTTAATTAACAGCGAATTAAGCAAGCAAAAATGTTGTTAATCTTGGAACCGCTCGATCCAATAATAAAAGCCGGATCTTTTATGGTATATACAAAAGTCCGTAGGTTTAAGTTTTAATTTAGAATTTTTTTTTGAGCCGATTATTTATTTGGAAAAATGGTTAGATGCTGTTAAACAGTTTTTCATTATAAGATCTTTCTGCAAACTCAGAGTACATTTCTTGTGGCCCTTCTATAACATCCGAAGGTTTTAGTTTTAAGTTAGTTAGCATTTTTTTGAACAGATTATTGTTTTGGAAAAATGGTTAGATGATGTTAACCAGTTTTTCATTATAAGATCTTTCTGTAAACTCAATTTCTTGTGGCCCTTCTTTGACATCCTATCCACCCACCATTCTGTTTCCCTGAGTAGCTTCAATCTAGAGTTACATTTCAAGCCCCCCTTCATTAAATTTCCATCGTAAACCGAACCGAAATCAACTCTATCTAAGGCACTCACCAAATGCGCACCGCCCTCCAGCAGCGTGTGCGCCAATGGCTCCACATACGGCTGCAGTGTGGCTGCCAAATGCAAGGGCGTATTGCCCGCATCGTCCACTGCATTTGGATCGGCGCCCACTTCCAGAAGCGCCTTGGCCAGAGCAGCCGATGGAAACTGACACGAGGGATAGCGACCTGCCAGCGTACCCTCCCGATAGCAGGCGTAATGCAACGCCGTCCGACCGGACCTCACATGAACCTTCAGACGATTCAGCCGGTAGAGGGCGCCCATCACCTGTCGCCGCATCTCCGGACAAAAAGATTCAGAGTCGAGTAGTGAGGAGAGCAGGCAGCCGATGTGCAGGGCGCTGACCAATGTACGGCTCAAGGCGTTAGGATCGTGATTGCAATCGTGCTGATGGCCGGTGAGTAGCGTTGTCGATGATTGCGGTTGTTTAGTGGCTGGCTGTTGTTGTTGCTGTTGTTGCTGCTGCTGTTGTTCCAGAGTATAGGCTTGGCCTGCAAATAAACAAATGGAAATGCCATTACAATACAAGTATATATATCAGAATTGTCGGGGAGAGAAAAAAACCATTTCATTTCAATAGCAGTCTGGTAGATTATCTCACAATCGATTATTCTGCTGTAAGCCTCAGTTATGTACAAAATATCAAGAACTGATCGTTCTAGTTTTGTGATATTTATTTCGAGATCATTATTATAAGAGACAAGTTCATGATCATTGGACTCCTTTACCTCAAAAATTATGAATTGTAATTCTAATATCTAAAAGGATAGATCTTAAATGCAACCTTCGGACCTTAAAACTTTGTTCACTAATGAGTAGAGAATTTAAACTCGTAGTTTCAATAACTCTGAATAACTTAAATATTCTGTAAGCATCAGCTGTATACAAATAACCAAAATAATCATCACCATGCACAATCTTTAGTAACGCAATTTCACTTTCAATCAGAATTATAGTCTAAAGCTTACTTCCAGCTTGTCTTTCTAGGCAGTCCAACATGTATAAATCTATAAATAAGAGTACGTCTATCTCTAACCCAGTTTCTCAAATCTATTTATATACATCCCATCTATAAAGTAAAGAATAAAAGAGTAGGTCTATCGATAACCCAGTTTCTAAACTGCATTGACACGACTGCGAATCTGTTCCATCTACGTATCAGCGAACTTACCGCGCTCCACTTCCAGCACAGCTTTATGGAATATGGTCAGCATGCCGTCCGCCTCGATGGGCGGTACGACGCGACCACGAGGTAGGAGACGACCGGCCTCGACCAGCATGAAACTGAAGAGTTCGGCAAACGATAGCAGCGAAGACTGCGTCATGGGGCTGAGTGGCTGCAAGATTTTCTGTTGCATAGTCAAGGCATAGGACCATAGCTCGATGCAACGATCGAACCGTCCTGCGTCAGCATAATGTGCGCCCCTAAATAGAAAGCAAGAATATGAGTTGTGCAATATCCAAAGAAATTGTATGGTACTTACCTAAATCTAATATAGTAACTGGTATCCGGATGCGTCGGTCCCAAAATGCGCTGTCGAATGACTAGCGCCTGCATGCGCATCTCATCCGGATCGAGTACCAGCTCCTCCAGCTCCTCAACGCTGGTCACCTCACTAACATGTTCGTAGGCCGCCACCGGTTCCTGCACCTTCTTTATCAGTGGCGGTTCCAAGGCGCGCTCGTCTAGAGCGCGTCGCCACAGCATCAATGCCACGGCAATATCACGTTTCTTGTCCACATATGTGGCACCCAGCAGCTCCAGGGCATCGATGCGCGCCTCCCGACTCACACAGGGCAATGTTATTAGATGTTCCACAATGGGCATATGTCCGGTCACACTGGCCGCCAACAACGGCGTCATTCCGTAGTAGTCCACATCCATGGTAGCGCCATGCTTCAGCAACAGCTGAAGTATCTGCAGCGATCCGGACTCGGCACAATCGTGCAACGCCGTATTCCCCTTAATGCTGCAACGATTCACATCTGCGTTCAGCGACAGCAAGTACTGTGCAATCCGAAAGTGTCCTTTGTAGCAGGCGATCATTAGACAGGTGTGGCCATGACGATTCGCCACCTCGAAGTCTGTAAGAAATTCGAATGAAATTCAATTATTTCCGAAAAGTTTAAGTTGGGTTTTAATTAGGTCTTAAGCAAAGCTACCCTCTAGTAGTTAGTTGGTAGCAATTGCTTGCCTTCGCATTACTTATTTCACTGGTGAACTGGCAGAACCAATTTTAAGGAACTTTAAAATAGACTTATACAAGTAAGAAACTAATAAAAAACTATTTCACCAAGTGCTATTAAAAACTCAAGAGTATGATATTCTAATAATAAAATAAAAATAATGTTAATTAACAAATGATTTTGGTACCAATCGTTCCTATGACAGCTATATAAAATTAAAATTTACAAAAAAAATATATTAAAAAAAATATATAAAATAATAATATAAAATAAAAGGCTACACGTGGTTGTGATCAACTTAATCTATAGATGGATTAGACCAGTCTGCATTCCAAATTTGGCAGCCCTAACTATGATGGTTCAAAAGATTCCGATGTTCATACAGTCGAACAGACGGACAAATTGCTATGTTGATTTTGATTCGTCTCGCCATGTTGGTAAATTTTATACCTATATCATGAATTTTGGGCATGACTTCTTCGGCCTGTTAAATATATATTCACACCTTTAGGCAAGCGATGGTAAAAATAATTTGTATTCCACCAGTGAAACCAAATGCAGAGACCGCTAGTTAAACGTTACGATATTAAAAACTACAGGGTAACTAAAAAAGTAAATAATACAACTATAATTTAGTAAAGGTATTGTTCGATATGTCCGACTTACAACCCTTTCTTGTGGAGTGCAAATATATAAGATATATAAACATTCTAATCAAGCAACAAAATTGCACTACACTCTTTGAGCAAACAATTAGTAATGTTCTCTGGCCCAGTGCAGAGGAATATGACGATTTTTCAGAGAAGATTGTATACTAGAGAGAGTACAAGTATTGGTAATTATTAGAGATATAGATAATAAAGATAAAAGCCGAATAATTGCTAGCAATTTAAATTCCCTAAATTTGTTGAAACATTGCAGACTCTTCTGAGAAATTCTGCCATATGTCCACACTTACCCGCTCCATGATGCACCAAATACTTGACAATCTCGTAGTGACCATCAAAGCAGGCGGCACGCAACGGTGTCGAGTTCGTGCGCGTCGTGCTGTTCACATTTGCCCCGCGACGCACCAGCATCCTGACAATGCCCAGATGTCCTGCGGCAGCCGCACACCACAGGGGAGGCGCATCTTCGATGGGCTCGCCATCGAAGCTCACTGAGCCCACCTGCTCCACATTGGCGCGACACTTTGTCAGAAGATATTCCACAATATCGTAGTGTCCGTTGCGGCATGAGATTACCAGCGGCGTCGCTCCATTCACCTTCGCCGATATCAGTGTGGCAACTTCGGCGGCACTTTTGTTGTAGAGCGTGGACTGCAAAGGGGGAAGAGAACAAACAGAGAGAAAGAGTTAGAGTGGACTAGTGAGTATGGTGTGCTATAAATAGTTTCCTTGTAATTCCCATTTCCCAAAGACAACTTTAGGCAAAACAATTCTTATCTAACTATAAACGTACGACTACTTCCGTCCATTACAGCGCGGAAATTTTAAGCACGTGTACAAAATATAAGAAATTATGAATCTCCCAATAAGAAAAGATTCGTTTTCAAAACAATATTATTATGTAGAACTTTGAAAAAAAAAACAAACAGAAACATTAAATTTTATATTATTCAAAACAGGAGTTTTTTCGTTATTATTATTATGCAATAATAATCTTTTGGTATTTCATAATTTAATGGTTATAAATGGGTTAGAAGCTCTACAGCTACATATTATCTTTTTCCCCATTTATAATTTAATTTGAATAAATTTACAATATATTTCAAAGAACTGATATTATTTGTTTTGTAAACTTTTCATCTGTGCTTTAAAATCTTTATAATTTTCATGGTTTTATAAGTTTGCGATAGCATTTAGATTTAATAAAAAAAATTGTTTAATTTAATTGAATATTAAAAAGACTTCTACTTTAATAAACCGTTTCGGGTTTTACATTTCATAGCATAATTGTAAAATTTAGAATTTTTGCATATTTTTTTAACGTTCGATCGCAGTTTATGTTCAAAATAGCATTTACAATTTTAAGACTGCAAAAAATAATTGGACTAACAATGTCCGGCAATTTTATTTTTTATTTTATGCAGCATTTCATTCTGCTAACCATTTCAATTGAACTAGCAAGATAAATCTTCAATATTCGAAATTTGGAGCTGACAGCTCTGAAATCATTTCCTTCTTTGTAGAAGGAAGTTTCTACATTTGTTTTCAAACATATGTTTTAAATATTCGAGTACCGCTTCTACTGTATATCCATCGCAAAATTTGCGATGATTCAGCATGAGACAACTTTTAAAAATGAACGACAATTCACATACAGAGACAGAAATAAATGAATTATATTTTAAACAACAATCTAAACAAGAACGCGACCGAACAGCAACAACAACAAGAGCACGCCAAGTGCTAATTAGAATACGTGCGCAATTTCAACGTGAGTGCTAATCAGAGTGCGCGCATTGAGGCAGCGAGGGGATGAGAGAGAGGGAGAGAGAACGAGAGGGGGAGCAGGAAGCCGTACGGAAAGTAAATCAATACAACGGAGCCCTACAGAAAGCAAATCAAAGCAACCGAATGAGAGCGAGCACAGGCACACAACAACAACAACAATAACAACAGAAACAACAATTAACAGCGCATCAGCTGAGCTTAATCAATAACGTCTGTTAGTGATGTGAATTAACTTAATCGTTTAACATCGTTTTTCTTTTAAGTACAGTAGAGGTATGACTTTGCAAGATTATATAGTGCTGTAATATAAAATTGAATAAGTTGAGGAACGAGCTTCATTAATATTATAGCTTCATATTAACTCAAAACTTTTAAATGCAGTTTTGTTTTTCAAAATTTCGAAACTGTTACTGACAGCCAACTGAGCAAACATATTGGTTTCTAGTTCAAATAATTTAGTGATGAATAAGTTAAAGAACTAGTTCAAGCTAAATTTTAGCTAAGTTTTGCTGAAAATATATACATTCTGTTTTTACACGATTTTGATATAACACAACAAAATTTGAAAATTAAAAATTGCATATATATTTCTTTAGAGATAAAGAACCAAGCACCTATTTTTGCATGTCTTTTTTTTACACGGTTCTTTCTGGAACCAATCTACCGTTTAAAACAGAATTAGGTGTCCATATTCTTGTTGATCGAAATTGAATAAATAATATCTTAATCGCTACCATTATTTAGTGCATAAATAAACTTATTAATATAAAGAGGCTTTACGAGAGGAACAAACATAATTAAACATCAGTTTTTCTTCATCTCTCCAACACTCTGTTAAAATAATAAATAAAAACAGCAATACATAGTATAAAAGAAACAAAGCCGGCTCCACGATAATTCTACATATTTCTACACAATAATCCAACACCACCTAAATATTGATTAGGCATCGATATTTTTAATTCAAGTTTCATCTCTAGAGTGTGCATATATTTGTGTTTGTGTGTGTGTGTGCGGCTGCTGATGCCATTTAAAAGCGATTTTTGCACATGCCAATTGGAAATTTAACTCATTTATGTCAAACGTGTTTCGTTATATGCTAATTATGTTGTTCGGGGCGCGCGAAGCGGACGGACGGCGTCGCAAAGGCTGCGACAACGTCGCTCTTGATCGACGCACGTGTTGGTGGGGAGCGGGGCAATGGGCGGTGCTTTTTATATGGCATGACCATAGAATAAAAATAATAATAAATAATAAAAAACACGATTGAGCAGCAATAATGCTAATGGATTCATATTATGGTTGCAAATGCAGGCAGTCCTTCAAAAAAATTGAAATACTTGTATGAACATACATATTTCCAACTCTTGATTCGATGATATACTCCCGTTATCAATATCAGAGCGACGAAATATACAAGCATACTACATATATTATTACATATTTACGGCCAACCAGTTATCAATCATGTGGTGCTGGACAAATAAATAAAACGCAAGTGTTCGAATATTTAATACCCTAAGCAATTAATTTTCAAAAGTGTTGAATTTTTAACGCCATAGTAGTTATTAGACTAATTATTGGTGGTTTCCATATTGTAAAGAATTACATGCAATATTTTATTCCTCAATAAATCAATAAGTTAACCCATTTTTACATAACATTTGAAACTTAACAACTATTTCCCAATTGCTTTATTTCTGCTTAGGGAATCTTTTTTTAAGAAGAGAAAGAAGAAAGCAATTTTGAAATTTTCATAATTTTTTTAAGTCCTAAAAAATCTTTATACTTTTTTTATTCTTGAAAAAATTATCAAATTTTAGTTTCAATTTGAAAAAAAAAAATGTCTTTAAAATATATGTGAATATAAGATGTGTTAATATTATACAAAATTTGTGAATTTAATAAATTATATCATTTTGATAAATTCTCAAAATCAATTGCAATATATAATATTTATAATTATTTTCGCTATCATTATATTAAAGTTTAATATATTCTTTTAATTCCATCTTTAAACATAAATCTATGGTATTTTCTTTTCCTTTATTCTAATTAAGTTCCGAAACACCACAAAAATATGGGCTGGTTTGAAAATATCTTCATTTTTGCTAGCTTTTGTTCAAGAGTTGTGTTGGCTTTGAAATCATACATATCTATTTATAATATTTATAATTAATATATCTATACTTTATAAAGCCAATTTGCAAATCTCCCGCAGAAAACAAAACAAAAACTCCCCTAAACCGTGGATTAAAGAAAATAATATAAAATGCATTAATCGAGTTCTCTCAATAAACTCTATACGACATTATTAATTTGAAATGACAGATAGACATAGCAATTGCTAAGAGCTCTACAACAACTCTCAGCAAATGTTTCCCGTTCTTTCGCAAACAGACATACACTTGTATATGTATGTATGTATCTTTTTACATGCAAACACTTAAAAAAAAACCTCTTAATTAATTTCTGCGCACAACTTAACATTTGACATTAGACTACTGCTTATCCAAGTCACATGTTTATAAGTACTTGCATATTTGCAGATCTTTTAACTTCTAGTACACTCGCCGACTTTGTCTCCAATTAACCGATATGGTATTCATTTTACTCTCTAAACTACGTCAAACTTGTGATATACGTATTTGTTTTACTAAAGTAACGATTCCTGAGATGTTTATATGCTCTCAGTTGAATGATGAAAGCATAACAAATAATGTAATAGCGGCAAAAAACAACATTACATTTTATTATTACGCTTTTATCTTGAAATTTATTTATCATACAAACATATATACGATCCCGTTCCCGTTCCAGTTTAAGTTTAGCGGACACTTAACGGATATTGATATAATTTCTTTGTTTCTTCTTGTTTTGGAAGAATCAAGATTTTATTTTAGTTAATTTCTTGAAATACTTTGTTCTTTCAAATTGAATTGGTAGGTCAACAAATAGTTTATATTCTTTATTCAAAGGCAAATTCACTATTTCCATTTCACAATTTCGCACAAGTTGGCAGCACCATGTAGCCTATTGGAGAGTTATCAGTAAGGCTATTTTAACAGAAAAATAACAATTAATGCATTTTAAATAGCAAAAATAAATGAATACAAATAAGTGTACGTATATTTTATAATTTAATTAGATGAAGAAAAAGTAAGTGTAAGTATAATATTTTATAATTTAATTAGATGAAGAAAATGTTGGCGTTTTTTGAATAGTTATCCACATTTTTTTAAAGAAATAAATTAATTCCTAATTAATTTCCTATTTCCTTTACCTATTTTCGTTCTATCTTTCGTCACTGAATTCCATTATTCTTCCAAAAAACAGGGGGAATTTCAGAATTAGTTACCTGCTTTAATAATTGAATTCTAATTTGACACAAAAAATGGGTTTTTTTTCAAATGAATTTCCTACTTTTTAAGCTCAATCTTTCCCAATTGCCTTACCAAGAAACAGGTGGTTTTTCAGAATTAATTACCTACTTTTAAGTTCTATCTTTGCGCACTGAATTCCCAACACTTGACGTGTAGTGTACACGTATTTTTGCGTCATGTTTTCATCACTCCATTATGAGTAAACGTATCAACGTATGATTTTTTTGCTATCAGCATGCGTGCTCATGAAAAATGCCGAAGTGATTTACAAAATTGACATAATCTCAAGAAATCAGAAATAATAAAATAAAAATACAAAATAAAAGCGAAGGCTGACTTTTTTCCTATCAAACTCAATTAGGCCATCCATCATCAAGGTGATGGGACCTCATCAAATCTAAGTAGTGCCCACAACCCCTCACCCCCCACCCCTTCCTGGTGACACACCACTGTGCTGCCAGCTGCTGAGCTGCTTAGAAA